AATGTGTCATTCAGACCTGCCAGCCATGCCTTCCAAGTATAAAACTCCTCCGGTTTTGATGTTTTGTGATTTATTTTTAGAAATGTAACAGTTCTGCCTCCTTTGCTTGAAGATACTCAAAAAATATGTAAGAATTGCCCATTTTCCTCTGAGACTTCAGTCACAGTAAATGTCACTATATGATGTGATATAGGCAACCTTAGTTTGGGTCTTAAGAAGAACATTGTTTGACATGTGTTTAGACTGGAGGCTGAGAGATTTAGGATGAACTCAGTTATCTTTTTCCTTTGAAGAGAGCTTATTGTCCTTACCCAAACTGGCTGTGGGTTTAGATTTGCCCAGGATTTGCAGTTCTGTGGGCAAATTATATTTATACAGAATCACAGCAGAGGGAGAGTATGGAAACCAGGAATTGTTCTCTACTGGAGGGCCTGTAAGAGATCATCCAAAACAGGGGATAATGGTAGCGTAGATGATGGGGAAGTAACAGAAGTATAGACTGTTTACAAGCTGGTATAGAGAAGCAATAAATTAAGCATTATTGTGTATTTCCTAGAAAGGTCAGTCCTCACACTAATCAAATAGGATCTGAAGGTGTTAGTTCTGACATAGGCAAAATCCAAGTGGAGCGAGTTCCTTCAGTTGATTTACACAGAGGTGCCAGGAACACATGCATGCATACACATGCAGGAGAATGACAGTTTTAACACAGAAAGTTGGGTCATTTTGCAAACTTAGCAGACTGATATGCAGAGAAATTCAGGAAGCAAAGGGAAAGTGGTGCATCAGTGGGTATAAGGTGAAACTGTCAATATCTCAGTAAAGGCGTTTGTCCCACGGGTGGACCTGGCAAAGTGCTACTTGTGGCTTCTGCTGTATTTTTTGAGCAAAGTGTACAGACAACTCTGGACTTCAGTGAACCGTGTTAAACCATTACCAGCTTGAATTTGTCCTCTGTTGACTGAATGCCACAAATCTACTGTATAGATCTCGATTTATATTTATTTACCATTTCATCTGCAGTCTTTAATGGATTACAGTATTTGGATTGCTCACAAAATAAGGAAGGGTGTTGAGGTGACAATTTAACTGGCATATCTATGTAGTTACTTCAGAAACATGGAGAGGTTTGTTTGTGTATGTAGAAAAAATGTCAGTAACCAGAATGGATTGATTTTAAATCCATGAATTAAAATAAGTTATTTAAATATGTTTTATATCAACAAGCAAGAAACTTGATATAAAGAATTGAGTTTAGTCCTGTTTTGAATTTGTATTTTCTGGTCATCTTCCAAAGGAAAGGCTAATTCTTACTGGTTTATGACATTGAGAAAATTGTTGATATCCAACTAAATGCATAATTTCGGGAGATATTTGGTACTTCTGTGTGCAAATATGAGGGATAGACTTTCTTTTTTTGTATGATTTATCTGATTCAATATGTTTGCTCTGATCTCAATTTTCTACGTCTGTACATAGGAAAATTATGTATTTCTAATTAGGTAGTTAACTTTCACTTAAGATTTATTTAACTTCTGGTTTGGGTAGAATTAACTAAATTAAAAAATCCTCAAAATCAGTGCTTTGTTAACTCTGCCCAAGACATTAAAAATGCGAGTATATATTAAAAAGATTTAACAGGACATCTTTTGAATACAGCTCCCTTTGTAAGCAGGGAAAGTATTCATCATTCAGAGAATCAGAAATGTATGGTCCTTTAGATATGCAAGGATGATAGTTACTACTACTGTTTTTTAATTGTTGGTTGAAGGAGGAAGCTTATCCACTTTAAATAATCAGGTTGTTAAAATGAACTACACAAACCACAATTAAGACACAGTTTTCTCTGTGGCCATAGAAGAGATGATTGCTGTCAAAAGCTGCTTTTAGCACTTCAGTATACCCTGTTTTCAGGTTGTGTTCTGATGATTAAATTCCATGAGACTTTTCAATGCAGTTTGCCTTGGTAGCAAACACGTACTGGCTTAACACGACTTCAGCATTCTTTTTGATTATTTTAATGCTTTATACTGAGGCCAAGACCTCAACACCTGTGGCTGTCATTCCAAAGGCAGTACTAATTAGGGGGTTTAGTTGTACTGTGTTTTTTAAATGACACTTTATGACCTTTAATTACTCTCTCTGTTTTGATAAGAATCTTTGTAAAAGGAAATTCCTTGAAGTAGAGCAACCATGGCTTATTTTGAGGGCTGAGTCAGAACTAGAGAATTGTTAATTAGGTGTGTTAGATTACAGTCCTGTACGTTTATTCAAAACAAGACTTTAGGGCAAATTTGAAACTGTGACAGACTAACTTTTACCAAGTGTACAGCTAAGGTCTTGGAGACAGCTAGGTTTCAGGTTAGAGGTGGCCTCCTTTGTATTTTCCCTTCTGCTGGTTGAAGCAGATAAACTGGCCAAAACAAACCAAAATTCCCTAATCCTATAGTAAAGCTTGCTGAGAAATCCAATGATAGCTAGTGCTGGTATAGACAATAAAGAAGGACTGCTCTTTCTGGGGACCATCAGCTGGTACAGTGCTTACCCGTATTATAAAACAGCCCTCCCTAGAAGCAGTTGTGCATGCTCTTCGTCCCTAAAGCACTAGGTGTAAACCTGACTAGCTAGTAAATCATAGTAAGTGTGTTCCATAGTGTCAGGTGGTTAATAGTTGGAGAGATGTGATCTAAATATTGCACAGAAATGGATTAATTCTCAGTTGTTGCCAAGATGTTTGAAGAAAGTCAGAACTTCTTAGGTCTGTTCATTGCAGGGAGGGGAACTGAGTATGGGATGACAGTCTCATTACAAGCAGTATTCTCATTTATTTCTTTGAAGAGCATGTGCAGACATCAAGGTTAAGGTTATGACAGTATTGCCATGTTCTCACCCCTTTCATTCATGGGTCTTCAAAATAAAATCCACCAAGGTGAAATGAGAAACTGGGGTGAGAGTAGAAGCTGTGGTTAATTTTAACTCGATCAGGCTGAGACAACCCACCATTCTATCATTAATGTATGATTACTTTGCTTTCTGGTTAGAGATGAACAGAAACCTTTATTATATATTAAATTATAGAATCATAGAATAGTTTGAGTTGGAAGGGACCTTTAAAGGTCATCTAGTCCAACCCCCCTGCAATGAGCAGGGACATTTTCAACTCGATCAGGTTGCTCAGAGCTTCGTCCAACCTGACCTTGAATGTTTCCAGGGACAGGGCATCTACCACCTCTGGGCAACCTGGTCCAGTGTTTCACCACCCTCATTGTAAAAAATTTCTTCCTCATATCCAGTCTGAATCTACCCTCCTTTAGTTTAAAACCATTACCCCTTGTCCTATCACTACTGGCCCTGCTAAGAAGTCTGTCCCCATCTTTCTTATAAGCCCCCTTTAAGTACTGGAAGGCTGCAGTAAGGTCTCCTCGCAGCCTTCTCTTTTCCAGGCTGAACAACCCCAACTCTCTCAGCCTGTCCTTATAAGAGAGCTGCTTCATCCCTCTGATCATTTTTGTGGCCCTCCTCTGGATCCACTCCAACAGGTCCATGTCCTTCCTGTGCTGAGGACCCCAGAGCTGGACGCAGCACTGCAGGTGGGGTCTCACCAGAGCAGAGTAGAGGGGCAGAATCACCTCCCTCGACCTGCTGGCCACACTTCTTTTGATGCACATTGAAAGAAGAGACTTGTTCTGCAAAAACCTGTGTGGACTCTGAGCTGTAAAATGACAGAAATGCAGTGCCTGCAGGCAGAAGGAACTACCTCCATCTTGTAACAGCCCAGGGTTTGAAATAAGGGGCTTATCACTGAATGGCTTTCATGTGCGAGAGGAAGTAGATGCACAGGGAAAACCTAATGTCTGACACCATACACCCAGAAATTTTTAATATATGTGAACGCATTGCCTTCGTGATGAAAAGGGAGAGGCGTGTGTCTCAGTGAAAAACGTGACTGGCAAAAGCTTCGTTTGTTCACTCCCCCCTCCCCAGCAAATTGCCTGAAAGTGGATCATAAACAGCGATGCATCATTACTATTATCTCCCAGTATGACTCACTGAGCCATATATAGCAGCTCGTCTTTTGAGGAGAATTCTTACTCAGAGCAAGTAGGCTGTGGAAACAAATATTGAATGTCAGCCTGTTATGTCACTGTAGCATTAGAATTTCTTTTGTGGCAGATAAAAATGTCTAAAAATGGCTTGAACAGCAATGCCTGTCTGGATTAAGCAGGGATTGTCAGGTTAAAAATCCTCATTAGTTTTCTCCTGATTTGATGCTCTTATTTTCATAATATTTATCTCTTTTTGGGGCAACAAGAATGTGTAGATTGCACTAGCAAATTCTTGGATATTTCAATATTTGGATTGCTGGTAATGCAAGGTAGCAGGTGGCTTTTGGAGCATGCTTTAGGCTTTTTTTACTTTGTGTTTTTAAGAGTTCTCGCCCTTTGATTGCCTAATCATGCCCCAAATTAATTCTCTGTGATTTCTTTCTATTGTCTTTTAGTTGTAAAGAAACTGCTTGTGAAATCCAAGTATGGCTCATAACGTTGTTCCCTTTTAAAATTCATCTGTCCTCCTTTTAGAAAGATTGCCTTTCTGGAATACATCCTCCGTCCATATTTTGCAGTAATTTAGTACCTTGAAATTTAGACTGCTTTTCTTGCCAAGAAAGACTAGCCAAGGCTTTCTTCAGGGCTTCAGTGATTGCTGCTGGACCAGCCTCTCCATCCTTATCCCCAGGTGGACTCTAGCCTGAGGATCCAGAACTCTGTTTTTCTGGTGCTGTTGCCAGTGTCAGTTTTGTTCCATGTCTACTGCTGTAGTGAAGTACTGCATTGTTTGTTTATGTTGCAGGTATGTTGACTCAGCTTTCGCTTTAAAACAGTGCTCAAGATTTTTAAGTAAGCACTGGGAAATAAGAATCCTTTCTTGTGTTCTGTGATATTGATAACATATTGACAATGCTGTATTAGTAAAAGAAATATTCCTGTGTTCTTTTACAGGTTTTGGGATTTGAAGTTGATACGGTGAACTCTGTCCAGTTTTCAAACCACACAGGTAAAATTTTACATATGTCTTCATATACCACTCCACAGTCACTCAGCTCTACTCAACATGTGGCTCACCTCATCACATGACAGTGGAAAAGAGATGGGTCTTATGTTTTCACTCACATTTTCAGGATACAGGACAGAAATGTAATTTTCATGTTTTGATTCAAGTCTCACAGAAGTCTGGATTTGAGATTAGGACATGATATGACATGGTAATGTCCTGTTGTGCTACTTCAGAGTGTGAATTTCTTTTGTTAGGCAGTAATCTAATTAACTCAGACAGTGAAATAACACAAATACGACTGGCCTGGTTTCGACTGGGATTAGTTAATTTTCTTCCTAGTAGCTGCTGTAGTGCTGTGTTTTGGATTTAGAATGAGAATAATATTGATAACACAGAGATGGTTTAGTTACTGCTGAGCAGCGCTTACACAGAGTCAAGGCCTTTTCTGCTCCTCACACCACCCCACCAGCGCGTAGGCTGGGGGTGCAGAAGAATTTGGGAGGGCACACGGCTGGGACAGCTGACCCCAACTGACCAAAGGGATATTCCATACCATATGATGTCATGCTCAGTATATAAGCTAGGGAAAAAGCTGGCCAGGGGTCCGCTGCTCAGGAACTGGCTGGACATCAGTCAGCGGGTGGTGAGCAATTGCATCGTACATCAGTTGTTTTGTATATTCTTTTATCATATTATTATTTTTGCTTTCTTTTCTGTCCTATTAAATTGTCTTTATCTCAACCCACGAGTTTTACCTTTTTTCCGAATCTCTCCCCCATCCCACTGGGGGGGAGTGAGCGAACGGCTGTGTGGTGTTTAGCTGCCTGACAGGTTAACCCACAACAACATCCATCCACAGGCAGGCCTGTGCACAGGAGAGTCTTCAGTACTGTTTTCTGTGCAGTATGGCCCTATGACACTCATATTACCAACCGAAACATCAGAAGAACACTGAGCTAGATGCAATGTTTCGTCTCTCTATGTGCCCACCCAGAAGGCTAGCAATTACCCGAAAATTACATGTTGGAGGGAGGAAAGGGGTGGGGTGTTAATATATTTGGGTTCTAAGCCTGAACATGATGCATTCTCATTGTGTTTTCAGACTTCCTAACACTCACAGTGCTAGAGGACTTTACTTTTCAAAAGAAAGCTGGAATTTATGTTTATTTTAGCAATACCTTTCACCCATAAAGGAGCTCCAAGTGACGTGCTATTTTTGAATCAATAGAGGCACATCTACTGTCATGGTGGTGACAGGTTGTTTGAGGGGAGATCTACTCTAGATAAAGAAATTCTAAGGGTGTCTTAAAAAATAAACAAGGAACAAATTCTGACTTTAACATTTTGTAAAAGAGCAAAAATTGTTTCTGACAACAAGAAAAAAAGACAGAAGTTAAGATACTTTCCTAGTATCTCACAGGTACAGCTCTATTAATAAATTACTAAATTTTTGGAACAGAGAGCAGACCAGGAAACCTCTGTCCTCTTATTACTATGTTGAGCTCCATGCAGCTTTCAAAAGGTTGTAAGATGTTCCTGTCATGGAAGGAACTTAGTGACACCCTGGGAAGAAGAAAGTAATGTTTCAGAGGTAGCTAGAAAGCCATCTTTGCTTGTTGAGGAAAGGCACAAAAGAGGTAATAATTAAACAAGGGGTGGGTGTCTTTCCTGGCTCAGGAAAAAAGCTGCTTATTGTGCTTGTACCCTTTGGCACAGTACAAAGGTTCTCTCCTGTTTTTAAGAGATGTTTGGATGTGACTTATGTTTCTTTAATGTATTTAGGTTTGGAGTTTGGGATTTTTTGTTGTTTAGTTTTTGACAGCTGGGTAAAACTGTTGTAGTCTTCCAGAAATGAAGCAATTTTTTCATGTGAAATAACTCGGTGCTCAAAATGGATGAGCACCTGTCGATTGTTGGCTTTCAGTTTCAAGATTAAATCAGCTTTATAGGGTGTTAAAGAGCTTAATAGAGTTTTTATTGGACCATAAACTGAATGTTTCTGAAGGCAGGAAAATTACATTACCAATAGGATGACCAGATTCTTAAAACAGAAAAGAGGAAAGATTTTTTTTTTTTTTTAATGGTATCACAGCTGGAGAAAAGTTACAAGTGCTTCACTCAAGGTTTTGCAGGAACAACAAATTAGTGATTCCCCCGAAGGCCTAAATGAACATCCCAAAACTAAAAACATCTCAAAGATCACAAGTCTTTAAAATATTTGGAGCTTTTATTTTGTCTCCTGGTGTTTAGGAGTCGCATTATCAAGTTTTTTCTGTAATCTTGATTGTCTTAGTAAATGTGTTAAAAAATCCCAAAGATTGGTGCACAACCTTATGACTTTGGGAAGCAGAGCTTTCAGAAAAAAATCACAGTACAATAAGTGTTTGGCACTTGCCAAGTGTGAGTAAAAGGGGAATTTATTTAGGAGTATTGGTCATTTGGCTGAAAGAGGAGGGAACGGAAAAGAAAGGAAGGGCACATATTCCCTTTTATGACAGGTCTGGTTTCCTAGCACTGCAGTTTATCCATGAAATCCTTTCCACCCTTTCTTAAATTGAAGGATAGATTCTAAGCACAGTGGCTTTGCACCTCTTCTTTGAGAGAGGCATGTAGGAACATGTAGTGTCCTCATACGAAGGCTTTTCCAAGTTTGAACGTTTACGCATGCCTGCACACAAACTTGCAGTAGTACCTGCAAATCAATGTACATGCAGTCTGTGCCACTGCAGGGATTAACGAACAGAAACAGCCGTGCTGGGCCGTGGCTTGTGTCTGGAGCAGTGCCGCAATACGTAGGAATCATGTGCTGGATGAACTGGCGAAGGTAACTTAATTTTCCTGCAAAAACAAGATCTTATGAGAACCCTTTCTTTGATCATCATTAAAGCTGAAGGGCAAATTTTTGCTTCAAAAATCTGTGAACTTCAGTTTCTAAAAGAACGTGACATACCAGAGGGGGCACAGATAGCAAAGTATGTGAGGTTTTGGACGTGGCGTTCTTTCTTTCCCCATCCCTGTCTTTAAACCTGGTCTTGTCAGCAAAAGATACAACTCGGAGAGAATTTATGACTAACAGGCTTTCTTTGGTGAATCATTATTGCTTTTTTTTTTGCCCTGTCTTTAAATTAGTAAGATACCATGGGCCTATGTCTGCTGACTCCTGCTCAGAAAATTCAGCTTTCTTTAGTCTCTGATAATCTTGAAATTCGGAAAATGTGCTTTAAATCAGTCCCTCTGGGAGAACAGTTTGTCATGTTGCTTGGTGAGGAACTTTAATGATTAGAGTGACTCACCCTCGAATGGCATCATGCTTCATGTACAAATAAAAGAAGCTGTCATGCAACCTTTCAAGATTCTGTGCTTTTTATTCTATTTTACTGTATTGTTTGCAGAAGCATCTCATCATCTGATGTGCAAAAATAAAAATCTAGATTCTTTTTATTGTATCATTGATTTTTTGGGGTGCATTTTTAATTCTTCAGTGATTTGCATTTTTGCTTTTAATTCGTAGGTTAATGGTAGGCATATAATGTGCTTACTTTGCCATCCAAATCCTACCTTTGAAACTGCTCCAGATGAAATAGCCTGTTTTGTTTTGGTTTTTTTTCCTGTTCCTTTTTATTTTTAAGCAAAGCACTTTTGGACTTCCACTTAGTGGGTGTGTAGTGGGTGGTTGGGTTGGCTGGTAGGTCTAATATATAGGAAATTATAATTATGTCTCGTTGATGTCTTGTTGATGTGATTCTTCACAGTCTTCCGCCCATATGCAGTCGTTCACACCTGTGCAGTGCAGGACAGAAGATCTCCACTTGTGCCTAACACTAGTAGCATTTTACTCCTACACTGACCAGCTGTAAAAAGTCCAATGGAGAATTTGGTACTGTATTTCTGGTTTTGTTGAAGGCCTTCTGGTAGCTGAAGATTAAGTCGTGTTTAGACCAGGTTGTCTGCCAGAGTTTGCATGTGAATTTTGTGCCACAGCTGGGACCAGATTGCTTGCCCATCATGTGCCGTAAACACTAGATCTTTCTTCCTTTTTCCCATGTAAAATACTTGATTATTGAAGCTGCTCAGAATAGTTTTGCAGGGAGCACCACAGGAGGAACTCAAACCTCAGAACAGAACATGCCTTGCTATACTTAAATGGTAGCTTGTTTTTTGTTTTGGGTTGGTTTGGTTTATTTTTTTTTCTTCTGTTATGCCTGGGATTTTTATTCTTTTCTTTTTTCCTTGTTTTTGAAAGTAATTAAGAAGCTTATAAATACATTCCAAAGGAGGTAAAAAATGTAGCAGAGGAGGAAGGCAAGAAAGAAGAGTCATCTTGGGTGCAGTATTAGCTGTCTCTCTTGGTTGTGGTTTTGGTTTTTTTTCTTTTTCATACAGATGAACCAAGTCATTTCCTTGGAGACTAATGAATGCGTTTATCATTTTAGAGGGATAAGTGACAAGAGGCATCATATCTTACCTGTTTTTCATTCCCTTCTCTGCTTAAAAGCAAATATATAACATTTAATTGCAATAAAAGACCATAACACAGATGAGCAGAAGGGGTATAAAGATGTTTAAATGTTTATGTTCATCTATGCATTTAAAATTATTACTAATCTGGGAGACTGATGTAGTCAGTCTGAGCCAAGTGCAATGTGGAGAGCTGTTATCATGATTTGCAGTATTCTCTCTGCTCTCTCAGTCCAGCACTGAGGGGAATTATTTGGTGGTTTTGTAACCAGAACAAGGAAGACTCAGATTTCTTCCTCTGTGGAAGATACAAGCCAAGATCTCACTTTAATATCCAAGATAAAAGAGTAGTAGTTTGATCCAGCTGCTATGCCTAACCAGCTCTGTAGTCTCCAAATGGGATGCAGTTGTTTTGCCAAGTACAAACTTGAAACTCATTCTTTAGTTTTCTTGGCTGTGGTTCTTGTATAATGTGTGCAAATAGCCAGGTACTGTGAGACTTTGAACTTCTGTATTGTTGAGTACCACAGTGGAAATATTACTGCAGAGCAGAAGTTACAGCAAGTGGACAGTTAGAAGATTTTAAATTTTCTCTTGCTGTTTTTCAGATATTCACATTTAGTGGTGTAGGCATAGGGATAACAGTTCTAGGAAGCTGACTTTTAGGTCTTGCAAGGCATCTCTGGGCGTTCAAATGTGTTCATTGCTAGCGAAGTTCTTATGTCTAGCCGAGGAAGACGGCGATTCCTCGTTATCATCCTCAACTCCAACCACTCATGCTTTTCCCTAAAGCCAATTGGACGTCACATGTTTAAGCTTGCTGTTGGCATTCCTTGCTAACTCACTTTGGGTTCAGGGCTGTGCAGTATTTTTTTGATCACACAGTATCTATCTGGATATTTTGCCTTTCCCCTTTCAAGATAGTCCCTCTCCCTCTTCCTGGGGCCCGAGGTATCCATCCTTCAGTTAGTGAAACCCTTTTTGAACATGAGTAACTGGCTTTTTCTTCTGTCCCTCTATAGAAGCTGCTTTTTGGTTGTATGTTCCGCCAGGAGAGTAGGATAAATGCAGGGTCATGGGATTTGCCCCTTGTTCACCATGTCACATGAAATTACCCTGGGGAAAGGGCTTAAGGTGGTTTCCATCTTGCTGCCAATTTTGATTTTGTTTGTTTCCTCTTACTTGAACATAATTCAGCTCCTAGTGAAATCACAGTTCTCTGCAGATCCAGTGAAGCCATTGCCCTTTTTCTTCTGTCGGACTAGCTGGGGCTTCCCTCAGAGCTTCCCTAGGGCTTTTTTTTCCTCCAGCTATCGTGTGATTAGACTGTATGTTATATTACACGTGTTACCAGGTGGTAAAAAGATCCTCTGGATACCTTTGGAAATCATTGCTACAGAGTTTGGACAATGTCCCTGCTCCACGTGGGTAACTTATCAATTCCTGAGCTAAGCTGGGCTGCTACCTAATATTTTGGTTCTGTGTTTATTTCCCTCCCTCAGTGGAGAATCAATGTGACACGGACCCTGTGCATTGGCTATTTAAGACGGCTTGACATAGGAAGATGAACTTTTAGTTAAATAGTGAATGTGCAGGGTCCCTCTGTAGGAATGGCACCTGAGAGTATCTAGATTGTCTGGACGGTCTATCATAGTTATTTTTATGGCCATGTGTAAGATGAATGACTGCTCTTTTGCCAGCTGGCCTTGATTCTGGGTGAAAACTGCACTCAGTTTCATTGATGGGCACAATGGAATAAAAAGGACTCTGTTGTGTCCCTGTGTGGACTGGCTTTGCAGTGCTAACAGAAGTAGAGATTCAGGGAAGAGGAGAGGGCAGATTATTTCTCTCTGAAACTGCAGATGTTACAGAACAAACATCTCCATATGTGTTAAATAAGCCGAATACTTGAAGTTAGTTGTCGTCAAGGGTTCCTCATATACTTGGGGCTAGACATGTGCCTACGTGTTAGGCTTTGCTGTTTTGAGTATCATTGTGTTCTGCGATGGAACTACAGCCCTAACATGTGGGAATCCCTCACTTTGTCCCTTTCTTCACAGAGACTTTTTGAAAAGCGTTTGCTAGGGAGAGAATTGTAGTGGCTGGTGTGAGTCAGTCCCCCAGCCAGCTGGCAGCGAGTTGTGTTTTAGAGGCTGGGCCTTTGTGAGCTGAGGAGAACAAAATGATCCATCTGCTCACCCTACTGTGGGTGTATTTGCATGCATGAGAAGGAAGACTGAAAAATGTGCTTATCCTAGGCTCTAGGCACCTTTTGGCAGTTACTCTAATAACACAGTTTAGAGTGATAATCAAAGCCAACAGTTTTTATCACAGAATTTTCTAACTCCAAGAGCAGAAGTTAAAACAAACAAAATGCCATTGTCTTCACACGGGGGTGGTGTGGAAGAAGATAACCTCATTTAACATTTCACTTTTCCTAATTCCAGTTAATAAAAAGATAAGCTTTTTAGCAAACTCTGAATTTACGGAGGTTGGAAGAGTTTGATTGTGGGTGCTTCATCTAATATCCTGGAGGAAGCCCCATTCTTATATACAAGGGAGTGATGTCTGCCATCTAGATGGGCAGGCTTTGATGGCAAGGTGCATTTACATTTTTCAGCTGATCTTTAGAGTCTGCTGAGGAAGATTTTTTTGTTTTCCTTGAAATTGGCTGCCATGAAGCTTGGTCCATTGTTTGCTGAAATCAGTTCAGCTTCTCCCAAGTAACTTTACCTTCCGTCCGCTTCTCAGCCAAGAATATTGGCTTGTAATTCTTAGAGATCATTCAAGGATAAGAGTGTATGGATATTATTTGTCTCTTTATAGCGTCTGCTACTCATTTGCCTCCTCTAGGATCTTCAGCATTAAAACAGTGCTATTTTTGGAAGAAAATCTGTCAGATGACATTGTATGTTTAAAGAGCATCCGTGACAATGTTCTGCTGTGGTCACTATTCATTACATGCAGGTCCCAGTAAACGCCGTATCTGATGGGTGCAGCAGTGCTGCATGCCTGTGTCCAGACAGATCCACAAGCCTGTTTAAGCTTGTCATCTAGCTGTCAATCTTCCTCTTTTTTTTTAATAGTATAAAATAACAAAAATAGATTATACTGACACCCTCCTCCAGTGAAGTCTAAAACATACGTTTGTCCCCCTCCACACAGGAAAGGGATAGTTGTATAAGCTCCATGGGAAAACTTGCAGGAGCTTGTGTGTGCTTTGCTCAATTTGCTGATAAATGGACAGTCTCAAACTCCAGTGTAGTCACTCTAGTTCCTTTGGGAAACAGAGGTGCTAAGAAGAAGATGAGCATGTTAACTGTTCTGCTGACAGCAGCTTTCATTTGGCAGCAGCGTTTTACAGAAGAGGAGGTGGAAATGCTTTCTGGTGCTAATATCTGATATGGTCCTCTAAGTGTATAATCTGTGTGATCCTAAACAGAAAATCTAGCTCTTGAAAAATTATCTGACATTTACTTTGCAGGTTATGCCCACTGGAAGGGTCAGGTGTTAAATTCAGATGAACTTCATGAACTGTACGAAGGACTTAAGCTGAACAAGGTCAACCAGTATGATTATGTACTCACAGGTAAGAAGAGTTTGTTCCTTGGAGTTCCCATGAGATGTAAACAAAAGTAAAGAAAGATAAACTGTATCCCTCCTTTCTCCAAACCAAACGATTACGTTTTCCCTCCTTTGATTATTCCTTCTGCATATTATAGTCTCAACTGCTCGTGCTGTTTAGTGTGAAACAGCCAGTGTTCTCCAGCCTGAAGGTTGTAATTGGGTAGGTAAATTGATCCTCTTGCATAGTTGACAGACTTGTACAGGCTTAATTAATGTTTGGGAGTGCCTCTACTGAAAAAAGGATGAGGAATGTCAGAGTATTATTTTTAAATTTATTACGAAGACATGAGTTTAACCCTTTCTCCTAAATTTGCAGTACTGGCACTCTGCAGTACTATAGCATGATTTTATACGCAGTTGTCTGTCCTTGTTTTTTCTACTTGATCTTTAAGGGATGGTGCTTTGGATACAGAGCGAAGTATAACCAGGGTTGGATTTTGGTTTTGACTCTGTCATATCTCTTGATCCTTTGCTTTTGTTACTACATAGGTCCTCTGAGTGGATACAGTTCCGCAAGACATAATGACTGCAGTGTTTTCCTTTGCTTGCCACTAGGTGCAAGGTATTTATAAATATAGGCAAAGGAACCTCTTGTAGAATGCTTTATAGAAAGGAGAGATTCTGTGTGCAGTTTTTATTAAAAACTGCTTCTCATCCAATTCCTGCTTCCCAAATGTAGATTACTGATCAGGTTTTACCTCAGTAAGACCTATGCATCTGGTTTAGATTACAGTATCAATTTTTTATAGCAGTGAACAGTCACTTTTTAAAGGTAAAGGGAAATATAGCACCAGATTTGATTGATTTCATGGCTTCCACATGTAGGAAAGTGCTTTATACACAGGGAAAACTGGAGACCTGAAGTGTATGGATTATAACCCCAAAGCAGTCATTCTGGCTTGAAGGGTGTGGCATATCTGAAGAGTTATTGTCAGTTCTTTTCCAGGGAATATCTCCAAAGTAAAGGAGACTAAATAGAAAATAGACTGAACTAAGGTTAAGAAATTAATTTCAGCATAAATGTGTTCTTTGTGATTGAGAAATAGACAAACATCCTTCCTTTCTTTGAAAGAACTCACACAGAGGACATTTCCAGTAAGAGCACTCTGTATTGCAAGAGTTTTCAGGAGATGTTAGTATGCAAACTTTGTAAATAATGTTTGACCATTCTTCTAGCTGAAATGTTCCTTTTTTATTTGACTTTCAACTCTTGGAAGATACCCCAACTCCTTTCCTATCACTGTCTTGTACTGGCAAAATGGATGTAAGAGATTAAAAATAGTAGAAGGAAGAATAGAAATCTTCAGCAAAAAGAAATTTTGGAGGGAAAAAAAAAGAATATTAATATGCCTTTTAAAATAGGATTTGTAGGTAGATGGGTCAGTGTGTTGCTCATATTGTTGAAAAATCTCGTTTGGTGTGGCTATTTTTGGTACGGACAAAACGAAGACATGGGTAGAAAGGGCACTAATTTCTTAAGATCTAATAACGCTCTCGGTGTTTTAGTGTTCAATTGTGCTGTGGCTGAACTTAAAATTCAGTTTTTTTCATTCAGGGCCAAAAGACAGATTTTTTTTTTTTTCTCTTCAAACGGGAACAGCCGTTCACTGTAGTGCACAATGGTACTTTGTACCTCCAACAACCTGGATATGATTATTCAAACACTGAAAACAAATTAATTTGTCAGCAGATGGGATTTGACTGTAATTATATATCTGACGACTGTAGATATCTTGGCTGAAATGGAAAACATTACCTTTAGGCTGATTATACAAAATAACACTTTGTTAACTTTTGTGACTGTTAGTTACTTGTAGATCTTCATATATTTGTTTCATTTACAGTAAAACACTCAAGAGACAAACTCCAATTCAGTGTAATTTTTTTGAAACACCTCTGTCAATAATGTTAATCATACTCCGTATTTTTTTTTTCAGCCAGTCTACCATCACAGGTCATTTTAAACAAAAGTCTTTGCTTGACTTTTTTGTCTGATTATCAGCATTTCATAGACATAAGACAAAGCATTTTGGCCAAAAATCTTGGAAGCTTTTTCCATTTCTCTGCAACATCTAAGAATTGATCAATTTTGCGAGTAAAAAAAAAAAAAAATTCTCCAAAATGTATTTTTAAATATTTTAGTAGAGTGGACATTTCTAAGCTGAAGGTTTGAAGAAACTACCTTGCTTAAAATAATACTATTAAATGAAATTATTAATTAATAAATGTTGTAAATAAAGTTAACACCTAAAATAAATATATAAATAAACATCTATAAAATAAAGAAATTAATGATTAAATGAGAATATTGTGGTGCTAGCATTGTGATTAGGCCCTTGAGATATAATAAAACTTCTTTCTAGCTTATTTCACTGCTAAGCCTAGAAATAGGAATTTTATTGGTATATTGATCATTGCTCTAAAATATTCAAGATTAGTTCTCCATTGCAGTAATGTGTTGGAATGTATCAGCACCAACATTAATAATAATAAAAAAACCTGCTTTGAACCAGAATACAAGAAAAGCATATGAAATTTAAAATATTTCTCATTTACTACATGATGAATAGTACTGATTCGGACTGCTGTTTTGAAGAGAAGGAATGTTTTTTCCTTTCAGCCTGACCTTTTTCTATATATGTTAAAGCATTTTGAAGTTGTATGACCCCTTCATATACAACATACTTAGTAAATGGATTTTTAAGGTTGTATTTGTAGTTGTGCAAGCACTGTCTGAATTTGTCTTCCACCTATTATTCCTGAATGAAATACTAAAATGCCTTTGTTCTAAAAATACATTGTTCCAAAGAATGAGAAGTATGCAGGATTCCTATCCAAAATTAAAAAAAAGCGCGTTCATGAAAATAAACTTCAAAAGTGTCTTTTTTTCCCAAAGGGTATACAAGAGACACTTCGTTTCTTGAAATGGTGGTGGATATCGTCCAGGAGTTGAAGCAACAGAATTCTAACCTAGTATATGGTAAGGATGTGTATTACAATCCTTTCTGCTTCATCATTATGTATGCCCATCATTTTCATGTTTTAGGATGAAACACCGTTCTGATGTTACGCAGCATTTCACAACCACCTTGTGCTCTCATCTGTCTGGGACCAGCTGAGGCTTCAGTGAAGTTTTGTTTCAGCATTGCTTAAGTGTAGAGGGAGTTGGTTTTTTATCTTTCTGATTTTATGCCTTTCATTATGTTTCTTGCATTATGCTGTCCAAAGGAGAATGTGCCTTGAGGACTGATTGTCTGTATCAAAGAAAGGCTTGTAAAATCCCAGCCAGCTGCTGCTGTTCATAGTTCAGAGGCATAGGTTGTAGTACTGATAACTGAAGCCTCTCCTTGATTTCCAAGTCAGTCAAAAGCAGGATAGACTCTCCCATATTGCCCTGCCATGGTTTCATGTTACATCCCAGAAAAAGTGTCTTACTGTGCCGTATGAGCTTCATAACTTAGCTTAAACTCCAAGGCTTTTTTTAACTGTAGTGCCCTCTGCTAAGATTACCTAGGAGCACTCAAAGAGCAACAGACTCTAGCGACTGCTGTCATTGACATGTCATGTCAGGCTTAAACCTGTGAGAAAAGATTCTCCTCTTTCTTTCCTGACTCCCTGAGTGTTTCAGGACTTTTGAACATAACCAGCGTAGGCTTGAATTGAGCAAAACGTTTAGAGTACCAGGGCAAAGTCAGTGGGGATTTGGTGGGGTAAAAAGCTGCGAATGATGGTTCAAGCCTGTCATCTTCAGTTTCAGTAAACTGTGTGGTCAGGAAACACCTAGAATGGTCTGTAGCATTTGCAAGGTGTAATACTGCAGAGTGTGATATCTGATTTAAAATTAACAAAGCACCTTTCTCATTTAGAAAAATGTAGCAGTTATCTGCATGAGCTCGGGTTTTGTTGCTTTTTAGCCTTTATTAACACTGTTGCATTGACTAACGGCTTGACTAAACTGATCTCCTATGAGAGGGTGACCTGCTTAGTGGATGAGGGAAAGGCTGTGGATGTTGTCTACCTGGACTTTAGTAAAGCCTTTGACGCCGTTTCCCACAGTGTTCTCCTGGAGAAGCTGGCTGCTCATGGCTTGGATGGGCATACTCTTTGCTGGATAAAAAACTGTCTGGATGGCCGGGCCCAAAGAGTTGTGGTGCATGGAGTTATATCCAGTTGGTGGCCGGTCACGAGTGGTGCTCCCCAGGGCTCAGTATTGGGGCTGGTTCTGTTTAGTATTTTTATCAATGATTTGGATGAGGGGATGAAGTGCACCCTCAGTTAAGTTTGCAGCCGACACCCAGTTGGGTGGGAGTGTAGATCTGCTGGAGGGTGGGAAGGCTCTACAGAGGGATCTGAACAGGCTGGATCGATGGGCCAGGGCCAACTGTATGAGATTCGACAACGCCAAGTGCCGGGTCCTGCACTTGGGTCACAACAACCCCATGCAATGCGACAGGCTTGGGGAGGAGTGGCTGGAGAGCTGCCGGGTGGAAAAGGACCTGGGGGTGTGTCCTGGTTTCAGCTGGGATAGAGTTAATTTTCTTCTTAGTAGCTGGTATAGTGCTGTGTTTTGGATTTAGTATGAGAATAATGTTGATAACACCCTGATGTTTTAGCTGTTGCTAAGTAGTGCTTACACCAGTCAAGGACTTTTCAGGTTCCCATGCTCTGCCTGGTGCACAAGAAGCTGGGAGGGGACACAGCCAGGACAGCTGACCCAGACTGGCCACAGGGCTATTCCATACCGTATCACGCCATGCTCAGTATATAACTGGGGCGAGTTGTCCGGGGGGGGGAAGGGATTGGGGAGACCTTATCGCTCTCTACAGCTACCTGAAAGGAGGTTGTAGTGAGGCGGGGATCGGTCTCTTCTCCCAAGTAACAAGCGATAGGACAAGAGGACATGGCCTCAAGTTGTGCCAGAGAAGGTTTAGATTGGATATTAGGAAAAATGTCTTCACCGAAAGGGCAGTCAGGCACTGGAACAGGCTGCCCAGGGAAGTGGTTGAGTGCCCATCCCTGGAGGTATTTAAAAGATGTGTAGATGTGGTGCTTAGGGACATGGTTTAGTGGTGGACTTGGCAGTGCTAGGTTAGCAGTTGGACTTGATGATCATAAAAGTCTTTTCCAACCTAAACGATTCTATGATTGTTAGGTTCTCCAGAGCCTTGTACTAGTAAGTGAAAGCTAAAAACTCTAATTGGATTATGAGCAGAAAGAAACATGTAGCTGTATAGTACAGGAAGGAAGTAGTCAGATGGTGTGAACACAGCTAAGCTAAGATCCTTTATTTTTAAATAAATAGATTATAATGTAAGGAAAATACTTCTAAAATGTAGAACAAGTTACCCTATTTTTACTCATAGAAACTTCCTTAAATACTGATTGGACATGGATTTCATATCTTTGGATTTGTATTTCTTTTTTATCTTGCTAAAAGCTCTTTTAATACAATGAACATTGTTCCTTTTTAAAGTACAAGGCTAGGCTGGTTCCATCCTCACTTTGAAATGGAGGGCACTTGGAATATGTTGTAAATATTGCTGATGATTCAGAACCTGTGCCAAATGTGTGTTAATATTATTACAGCGAGTATGAGTTTATGTACTTTGGCATGAATTTTCTTCTTGTTTCACTATAACACACATAATTTTTTTTATGTGTACACAGCAGTTTGGTGCATATGTTCAGCATGTTTCTTTTTAGACTAAAGTAAAAGTAGCACTCTTTTCACATCTATTAGTTTCTCCCACATTTCTTCCTCACCATACTACTATTCCAGACTTCTGGGTTGCGGAGTGAAGGGGAGGGCTCTCTGTGTTTTCCATAACAAAAGCCCCTTTACTCCCAGCAGTCAGACCCTCTCATCCTCGTCACCCTCAGACATAACATGGAAGCAGGTAGGAGAGGTCTTTATAACTGTACCCTATTTCTAAAGCAAAATTTATTCTGTTACAGTATGCGATCCAGTGATGGGTGACAAATGGAATGGAGAAGGCTCTATGGTTAGTACTTGCCTGTTTGGATTCTCTGTATAGTGAATATCTGCTATATAAAGATGTATAAAGATTTATTAATTTTTAAACGCCAAAACTAAGCTACTTTACCTAAGCATGGCTTTGGATTCCAGCATCTATTAAGTTTGTACTTTCATTTCCTGTATTTGAATGAGTGTAGTATCTGGGAAGAATGATGGCTGCATAGCCTTGGGATTATTTCTCACTCTCTGCTGAGACAACAGGTGGAATACAGACCCTGTCCACAGGAAAATATCCCCCTGCTCCCCCTCCTTGTCTCACTGGAGTTCCCTCATCTTCTGTCAAGAGCTCTGTTTTGGCTGGTAGCCTGGCTGGCATTGTCCGCGGTCGTGTGAATTGACATACCACTTGAACCTAAATGAAGATGACTTATTTCGCTTGAGATCCAACAGCTGCTAGGCAGTGACAGTGATCAGTGACAGAAAGGTTCTGTGTGCCAATACCAGACTGCATACTGGCAAAGAAACATGCCTTTTTGATCAAAACTGGCAAATAATTTCAGTAAAAATGCAATGTGGGAACACATCAGCAATAATGATATTTTATGTTTTCTTCTGCCTTAGCTAGTCACGCACTATGAATTCCTCTTTGTCCTTGTACCTTTTTACAGTTTACCTGCTCATAAAACATCACATGAAGTAGCACCTAGTAATAAATTTGCCATTGCTTTTGTGTTCTATTCTTTCATTTTACATCTATTGCAATATTTATTGTCCTTGGCTTTTGCTAACAAGGCAGAGATCTAGCAGCTGTAGAGTCACCTTGCAAAGCTTTAGCTCTTGGGAGAAGTCATAACCATAGGCCTACCTATGTCTTTGGGTGGAAGGTAAGGTAGATGGAAGAAGAGGAGAATATTTAACAGGCAACCCACCAACTCATTCCTGCCATAAAAAGTAATAAAATCATTATTTAAAATGCCATGGTTCAGATGTGACCTAGTCTTGCATTTCCGTCTAAAGGCAGAGTCCCTGTGACATCATCGCTTCACCATGGCTGCGTGAGTGAGCTCAGTATCAGTATGACGGGTGTTCTGGTAGCACCTAGTGGTCAACACTGTGGTGGGGTTGTATCTGTTGCTGATACAATTGGAATGGGAGACAGTAACACATGGGCACGCGTACACACGCACCCTGCCCTGCGTAGCTTATGAGACTAACAGAGAAGATAAAACATGGACAAAAGGGGGTATTAATCCTGATTTAGCAAATGGGGTTCTGCCAGAGAATATCAGCTACTAGTAAACAATGAACTTTTATTAAAGGTTTTGTTAAATTGAGTTACAGCAGGATTCAGGAAGGTGAGGTGACCCCTGCACCCATCTAACCCAAACTCCTAGCTGAGCTCCAGTGTGTGCCAAAACAGCTGATGCTTTTCAGCTTTGAGTCTGAAGAGCATACAGGCTGGTGGGCTCCTGGTACGTCTTAGCATATGGCACCTGCTTAGACAACCAATCTCCCTTTGCTGATGGGCTGTATTTAGCTAACGAAGATGGGATAGAGATGGAACAGACAGGTGGAAAGGGGAGCGTTGGCCCTCGTTACTTGAAGAGCTGATTCCACAGGCAGCGAAGTATGCTAGCGTTTGTTACACTTGGGTGCAACACAAGCAAACTATTTTTAATGTCCTTATCAGAACTGCTTTATAGATCAAGTTGTACTGAACAAATTACAAATCTGATTCCCGTTTACACATATTGATGTACAGCACACCCTAGAAATACTGCACTGAAAGAAGGAGGCAAAATAACACGTAGCATGGATGTTACTTGCTCCTAAGCCTCGCAATGCAACACAGTCAGTGTGGGCACACGCTGCCGCAGCAAAGGGCCTCTGTACTGTCGGTACAACAACAAAGCAGATTCTTTTGGAGGTAAGGACATGAGAAAAGGTTGGGACACTGTATTTCCTCATGCTGCTGTGTCACCTTGGTGAGAGGGAACCTGAAAGTTCTTCATCCAGGCACCTCTTCCTTTTAACGCTGCCAGCTTAGGTCCGTCTGCTTAGCGGTGCTTCCCATCGCCGCCGGTGAAAGAAGGGCTGTTGGTCGTGCTGTCACCAGCTGGAGGATGCACTGCCACGTTAGTTACCGCTGCATAACAGTACGCTGGGAGCTGTCAGGTTACTCGTGACGGCATCAATGGTAGTGGAGGGAAGGAGAGTTGCAGTCCCACATCTCAGATGCTGCTGACAACATTTGATGCTGTTTCTTCTCCCCTAGTATGTGCCCAAGGATCTCCTCCCAGTCTACAGGGACAAAGTTGTACCTGTTGCTGATATAATTACTCCTAACCAGTTTGAAGCTGAGTAAGTACTTATTTCCTTTTATAGCCAAATAAACTTGGGGATAAAAGCAGGGGAGACTGATACCCATGCTTTTATTTTCCAACCTAATCAATTCTATGGTTCTATGATGTGTCTCAATACCATGCCATATGTATGTATGTGTCGGGTTTTGGTTTTTAGCTGTTACTTCCAAGTGGTGCTTTTCAGCAAACCTCCAACTGTTCCATATTGAAACCAATAAAAAGTCTGGGAGTTATGCGAGGAAAAGATTTCTCTTGTTTTCTCTGGTCTCTCATTTTCATGATTACTTCTCGTTGTCTCCAGAGGCCTGTATCTAAGGCAGGTTGAAAAAATACCTCTCTTCCCTTCCCATCCTTCTCCATTCCTAGGAAAATTTTTGTTAAATGTCAGAATATTAAAACTGACATAGTTTGACTCAACCCCCCAAAATTAGATTCAGAAATACCACCATGGCAACATCTCATAGGAGTTAAGAATTTAATGCCTCCTGCCCGTCCTGTCTACATAGCTGTGGTGCTTTGGTGGGGAGATTATCTGTCATGATACATCACAGGCTGTCCTCCTGAGGGGAGGGAGCAGCTACATGGGGGATGGAGAGAAGACACTTGTGAGGGAATTTTATGATACAGGGATCTCTACAGGAGGCAGGTTAGGACTGGTGTGAGTCCGCTTCAGAAGCACTGTGTATCGGTGCACAGAACTTTTAGAGACAGCGGTCTGGTACAGCAGACCGTGTAGCTACAAACCGTTTAGGCCTGTACGGTGCAGTCTAAGCTTTCCTCCTTTCAAAGAGTTAAACAACGCAGTCATTGCCTGGAGAACTTGTGCTGTTTTAAGATTTCTGTTTCATTCTCAGGTTACTCACGGGCAGGAAGATTCACACGGAAAAAGAAGCTTTAGAGGTAAGTAGGCAAGGGGTGGGATGTGTAAGATCTCTTTCTGTATTCCTGCCTGCAGTGCTGCAGTTTGCCATTTGCCTTTAACCTTGAATCACTTTGGCCTCTATCCTTTCTCTCCATTTATCATTAAAGCTTGCGCACTCCAGGTGCAAAGCACTTTCTGTTCTAGTGCCAGACTTCTGAAGAAACTTCCCGAAAGACCTACAGATAAAGGCATTACAGCGGTAACGAGTAGATCTCTGTGAGCTTGTTTTGCTGCAGTGTAAGAAGGGTAGCAGCAGCAGCCGTGGCGAGTAACCCCACGCTGCCCTGGCTGGGGAGAAAGCCCCGGGTGACCCTGGGCGTTAGAAACCTGCGTGAGCCGCTCCCTCTGCTGTCCACATGCGAGTCGTGCAGAGTGCCCCGCGTTAGGGCAGCCGTTCCTCGTTCTCCCATGCAGGCTGTCTGCAAGGAGGAGAGCTCGCTAGCAAACTCTTACAAGGATTGATTGAACACGCTCTGAATCGCTTCCTGGCAGTGTTTGCCGGTGCTCTGTTTCACTTAAATTGACTCAAAGGGAATGAGACTTGGATTGCAAAAGGATAGATTGCATAGGTGAGAAACCAGACTGGGAGTCAGGGCCTTCGGGTGCTTCCTGGTGAAGGACGGACAAATCCACAGCACTGATAGCTGCTGCCATCGCCATACAGAGATGATAGATGGTCTGCAGGTACGCTGCATTGAGGTGTAAGGATTTACCCTTTTACACAAACCGAAGAAAATAAAAAGCTGCAGGGCGTGGTGATGAAGGACAAAATAGGAATATGGTTTTATTGGTGTCCTGAGAAGGGCTGAGCTCTTTGTTTTGTTGACTAGTCAAGTGCTTTCATAGTGGACTGATGTTATTTCTTCCAGTTTGGTTTTGAACTTCAAAGGAACACAAAATCTTTAAACAAACAGCAGCTGCAGTGGCACCCTGGAGAGTAGCTGGGGTCTGTCAGCCCAAATGTTTGTTGTTTTGTTTTTTTTTTTTTCTTCCAGCAACGTCATGCAACGTGGGTTGATTACCATCTCTTCTCGCCAGGAAGCAGCTCCAAAGATCTCAGCTCTTTTAATTTTTTTTTCCTCCCCCCAGTTTTACATTACCCCACTGTGCTGGGCGAGGGTGATGAGCTGTGCTTCATGCCACTAGCTGCTCACTACAACTCAGTTCTCCTATTTTCATCCTCCCCAGTGGAACCACAGTCTTGAGAACAGCACTGTTGCATGAGCAGCCATTAGTTTTAAGTTTGCATATTTCAGCTGCAAACAGGAGTTGCATGTGCTAAGCAATTTAACAAGTTAGTTTTCTGACAGTCTGTCTGGTTCATGTGATAGCTCTTATTTGTGATGGGTTTTAAAAAAATCTCTTCTAAAGAGATGGAATTATACTTAGGAATGGAAACATTTTTAAAATAGTTGCTTGCAGGATATTATATTTTAATCTGTCTATTTCCCCAGCTGCATGTCATATATAGGTCTATCCTTCTGAGTAATAATCCATGCTGGAATTTGTCCCCTTTGGAAGTGGTAGGAATTCTGGCATCGATTTCCATGGTGACAAGCTTTCATTCATTTCTTTAGCAAGACTAGTGATGACAGTATGGTCTTCTAACATAAAATTAAATATGATGTAATATTAATGTAGAAGGGGCTAAGTCCTACAACTAGAAATACTGGTGATTAGGTTCTTGGTGAACTGTGACAGAGAAATGAAATTGAGTTTAATGTTACTTCACAGGTTGATTATGTCAGCATATGCTGGTGGATTTACTGCTTCTTTAAAACATAACCGATGTCTGTGCAAAGAGGTCTGACAGTTGAAGAAACTTGGAGGCTTAGACAAGAAAGAAAAGCAATGGAGAATTAAAAAATAGCAGAAATAAATCTTTATCATTCAGCTGCTCATGAGTCATAGCTAGCCTGAGAGGATTTTTAGTTAAGCTCTTCTGGGGAAATTAATATTTTGTCTGTATTTTATGCCAAACTCATTATTGAAGTCATTCTTTCTTCTGTGAAATCCAAGTCACTTCTGTAGCAACCAATTGTGATGTCAGAAGTAGAGTATTAAGGAGTTTAAGTGAGGAACACACAGAGTAGAAATACACCTGCAAAGGTACATAATTTACAGGTGTAATTTGGGGTTTGAAACGGAATGAGAAAAGAAGATTGAGACAGGCTTGTGCCTCTGATTTAGCTCTTTAACTCTTCATTTTTGCTAACTCTTAAAATAGTAGCCAAATAAGACTTCATGACCTGGAGTTACTGGCTTTCCAGCAAGTGTTTCAAGATGCCAGCTCAGTTGCGTGGGTCTCTATATTTGTTCTCTTATTCTTTTGATAATATATTCTGAAAACATGATGCAGACAAAAATTCTGATCACAGCTGAAACAGAGTGTTCTTTTCAGAGGAGCATCCAAAGATAATACAAACAGAGACGCTTGTATATTTTAACAAGTATGTACGTTTAAATGCGGATGTTTTCATTCCCCTATTTCAAATTAATTCCCCTAATTCAAGTGAATTCTTTGAGTAGAAACTGGTTTTTCCTCTTTACAAAAGATGACAAAGTCAGGTGCTTGTCAGAAATGCTCAGTACTATGAATGATGCAAGGTTTAATCAACACACATTGCAGTCACTGATTCCTGCCTTTTTGCACATGGCAAGGTAATGGATATGCTCCATGCCATGGGACCAGAGACTGTGGTGATCACAAGCTCAGACCTACAGGCGCCTCTAGGAAACGACTACCTAATTGCTCTGGGAAGCCACAGAAAAAGTAAGTCATGAACTCGTTCATTAAACTGTGCTTTCTTTTAACCTTTTCTGTGCTTTCAGTTACTTTTCTAAGAAGTAGTTTCATCAGACCCGTCTGTAGTGCATGGAAGGAGCTTAGATCCCTAAGTGAATTTCTTCTCCTACAGTAATATCAGAGAGTGGTAAGAATGGGGCTGCTCCATGAGGGGAGACAAGCTGGGAGCGGAGCATGATCATAGCAGAGGCAGAGCACTGCCCTCACCAGCAGGGCACAGGCCCACAGTATCTGAATAAGGTGAGCAGAACAGGGGTGGTGATGGTGGACAGGTCCCATTGGCAGTCCTGTGATTGCTGGAGAAAGGTGAGACAAGCCAGGTCCAAGATTAATCTGGAAAAACCCAATCAGTAAGCAAGAACAGCAGGGCTGTACACAGGTACATCTACAGCACAGCTCAGGCAAGGACGCTTGCACCCGGGATGAGCTTCCGTGCAGCTCCTGGGTAGGTGGGCAGAGGGTGCATGGGTGGAGGATGTCCTAGGTGAGGTTGATCAGGGCTGTTAAAGCCCCTAGTAGCGGTCCTGACAAGTAGTAGTAGTAGTATAAAACAGGAACTTTGAATGTTTTGAATGCTTTTATGAAAAGTTATACTGTCCTGTTAGCAGATTGTTCCTCCCCTGGGAGGTTGTAAAATGTCCTTCTGCTTCTTCTCTATATCCCCTTCTATACCGTCACCAAGATTCACTGTGTGTTTGGACTGTCACAGGATGTTTTTACCTGAGAAGGGCATAGCTATGTGGGATGGTATATGATCTTATTTTCTTGTTCACCTGAGGGGTCTAAATGTGGGCATCACATTCTGGACTGCTGAGAGACCGAAAAAGTCTTGATATTTGAAACAGATTCCACCAAGAATCAGTCAGTGGGTCTTAGCACTCAGTACATGCTAGGTCTGGAATAAGTCTGGTTATTCCACTGGTGATTACAATATGGCACATGGATCAGATATTCTCTGTTGATGTCTACAGCTGCTCTTGTGCCTCCATACAACCCAGAGATACTCTAGGTTAGGATTTGGGATGCCCCATCTAGGATTCAGCAGTCTCCATAAATAGGTGGTTTCCTGAGCAAGCTGCTGCTGCTGTCTGAATGAATATAGGTGGCTCTCAATCCTTCATGAAAATGAAGATGCTCCCTATTAAGTGAAGTATGTACGGTATATAAGTTGTAAATGCTATCCCCACTTGGCAAAGTTTTGAAAGGTTGCACCTTTTAAAAGAGCTGGTACAAAGTTTACAATACTCCTTAGCATCTTTACGTTCCAGACAACAAAGGAATTCAAATCTGGTGATCACTTTTAAATTATAGTAAATGCTATTGTATTAATTGCTGGGTCTGTTACTTAACTGTTTATTTGTGTTGTAGCTAAAGCAGATGGTACGAAGATAACACAAAGAATTCGAGTGGAGTCTCCTAAAGTGGATGCTGTTTTTGTTGGAACAGGAGACTTGTTTGCTGCTATGCTGTTGGCATGGACACATAAGCATCCGAACAATTTGAAGGTGTGGGAGAAGTTATTCGTCTCTTTGCAAGTTCAGACTATGTTTCTTTTTTTTTCCCATTACTTTTAATTTATGACATTATTTAGAAACTCTCTTCTGTTTTGGCTTTTTTTCCTCACCTCGGAGGAAAAAAAGCAGAATTTCCGTTTTGCCAAAGCATTTTAGCTTGTACAACTTTGGATGGTCATCTTCAGTTACATGGATTTTGTGATTTTGCCAAATAAGATGTTCGAGAGAGAGAGAGAGGCTGCATACAAGTTTGTAATTACACTTTTTACCCTCACTTCATAATAAGCACTGAAAATAATTTATCAGATCTATTTTTATGTTTCTTTCCCCTAAGCACCTAGAGTCCTTGATACGGGTGTATGGTTTCTAATACCTGTTTTGGGAGAATTAAGAGAGTCTAAAATTTTTTTTCCCAAACTCTACATTATATAGTTATCATTCTGTTTGAGTCTTGTCAGTCATGTTTGTCTTTTAATAGCAGTGTTTTTGAAATAATAATATTAAACTAGGCAGCTGAAATTTTACTAAAACCTGAATATATTATGTTAACGCAGGTGGCATGTGAAAAGACTGTGTCAGCCATGCAACATGTTCTGCAAAGGACCATTAAGAGTGCAAAAGGTAATTCATTCAAACCTTGTTCCCTTGTTCTGTCTGGATTTGCATCAGAAGAAACATTATAAGAGCTTTCTGGGTTTCCTGACTAAAGGCAGCCCTCGGTGCAGAAGCAGCCAGGGAATTTACAGAATGAGAGCTTGGTAGTCTTGTCAGTGCGTGTTCCTTACTGTGTCCTCCAAGCCTGTTTTTGACAACACCCGACTGAAGATGTCACTGTTCAGCTTGTAGTGGGACTACAATCATGCTGACTGCGCTTGACCGCATTGCAAAACCCTAGCAGAAGAACTTGAAGAAATGCTGAGTTTGACGTGCCAGAGAGCTGCTGTTTTAAGTGTAGCTCGCTCACTTTCCCTTTGAGTCCGTGTGTTTAGTATTGAGAGGGGTTTATCAACTAGCAAACTGTCTGTTTGCTGTGTTGGCTAGGTGAGGAGCGTTTTTTTTTCAGCTTCTCTCCCCTTGGAGTTCCCATGTCTTTCAGTTCCTAAGGAGATCCAGATGGGATCTGTGGGTTCTCAGAGCATGCCTGTGTCACTTTCACACAGCAGAGCCATGTCTGTTTCCTGGAGAGAGGTGCAGAACAGGGATGATAGGAAATCGCAGTGCTGACTTGGATCTTCCACCTTGGAAGCCTTTAGCAGGGGGTAGTAAGGGGAGGAGGGTAGAAAAAATAGGGGGGTAACAGAACAATGTAACTTGTTTCTTGTTATACTGCTGTTTTTAATGACATTCTGATGTCATCTTTTTAGCACAAGCTGGAGAAGGAAACAAACCAAACTCAGCCCAGCTGGAACTGAGAATGGTCCAGAGCAGAAAGGACATAGAAAACCCAGAGATCATAGTGAAAGCCACCGTGTTATAAAGGCTGTATGTCTCCAATAACGCACAATGTATTGATGTCCTCATTTCTTCCCTGTAAATTGTAATATTTGCCTTAGATCTGTGACAGAAACCTGACTTTCATGAAATAGTGCCCAGCATAGGCAGATATCCACTCTCAAACATATGTGCTGGCCTTGCTCAGTTTTAAAAACAAAACAGTTAGTGTGCATTGAAGCATATTACCAGGTATCAAAATGGCTGTCAAATTCACTTAGTCTGTGTAATTACCCAGGGCAAGAGAGTACAATGTTCCTGCCTTGCCAAAAACTTTAGATGTGAATTTGCTAACGGAATGCTTGACTGACTGGAAAATATATTTCAAGATGGTATCTAGTGCCAATGGAGCTGGCTCCATGCTCCCTTTTCCTGGAGATGTCGGGTTACCTACTCGGGTATTCAGCATCTCAGCTGCTATGAAACTAAGCAGGGTTAAAACTACACACAAAGTTCTGGTTGTGTGTAGGAGTACTTTGAAGATGTTTGGCATTTAAGTACTCTGAAGCGACCTTGAGGTGTCGTTCACGTTACTGATAACTGCTCCTGTTTCTTGTCTGTGAACAGCTGTACAGTTTCAGTTTTTGCAGGTACTGGCTGCTTATTTCTAATGTCTGTGGGTGTCCACATGATTTTCTTCCAAAAGCTGCTCCAGAAACATCTTCATTAATAAGAGAATATCTTTATTCAGTAGCACTGGTTAGAAGTTTGTAGTTCTACCTCTGAGGCCAGGTTTGATTCTTTCTTTAGTTTTTAACTAAGGACAAACATTCTGTAAGGACAGAAGAGAAAGCAGATCTTACCCTGAAAGCTGGCTACCCTAGTTTCTTCTTCATGCGTGGATGTATTTACAAACTACATAGGGCACTTCCACTTAACAACAGTGAGCACTACTGGCAGGCTTATCAACGAAGCAATATTTTTAGTTTAGTAAGGTTTAGTACGTTACATATGTTTACCAAATGCAGTGAAACATATAAAATTAACTTGTTCATAATGTAAGTCTCTGCAGCCTACAATGATTAGAGATGATAGAAATGCATTATTATTAATGCATCTTTATTTCAAAATTCTGCTTCATAAGGCTTCAAAATGGGATTCTTAATAATTTCAGCGTCCTATACATCACAGCCCCATATTATACCAGTAGGGCAGATATGCTGACAGGTGCTGACCGCTTATACTTCCGTACGATTTCTGTATGGGACTGAGGTTCTTGCTTCTCCCAAGATGAGGTCTAGTGTGTTGTTAAATCCAAATTCAGTTGATGAGCTTTATTTGTCTCAGATGGCATAGGGAGATTAAAATTGCATTTCTGCTTGCAGTGACATGAAGCAAATCTGCATTCGAGGAAAGGGCTGAGTTTTTCTTGATTACCTGAGTATGCTCAGGAAACTCACTCTTGGGCATCTCCCAGATACCGTTCCTGCATCTTCCTCATCGCACCTGCCTAACTGATAGTGTCACTTGCATAGCTTGGGAGTCCCCAGAAGAGCTACTTTGGAGATTGCTTTGGCCACTGAAGTCTTCACTTATCCCACCATTTTTGTGGATTTTCTGCCATTGTAAAAGTTAATTGGTTTCACCTAGTAGAAGAGTATTTTATCCTTAAAGTGATTTTTTAGCTGAATAGATTTTTTTTTTGTAGAGTAAGATTTCATAATTAATACATCTCTGAAATCCCTCATTTTCAGTATCGCTGAAGCAAATTAAGAGACGAACAGGTTTTGCAGTAGCTGTAAGAGGCAAACTTCATGCTTTCACTCTCAACAACTAATAATAATATTATTTCCTCTCATGCATTTGGCATTAAAAATGAAAAAAAAAAACAAACCCAAAACTCAGATGACTTGAGAATTTTAAGGAGGGGAAAAAAAAAAACACAAATGACCTACAACACGTGACTCTACTGCCACAGTTTTTAGTAACCACTGCCATGAAATAACTTTCTAGCAATAAATAATTTTGGTGATGTGCACAGTTGCTAAAATTAGCAGTCAGTAACAGAGACGAGCTCATGGCTGATATCCAACATGTAAAAAGATATGAACTATCTTAACAGTGTGTGTAAATATCTGATGGGAAGCACTGAAGAAGAAGGAGCCAGGCTCTTCTCAGTGGTGCCCAGCAAAGGGGTAACAGACAATGGGCACAAATGGAAATACAGGAAATTCCATTTAAACATTAAAAAAATATAGTTCACTGTGAGGGTGATCAAACGTTGGCACAGGTTGCCCAGAGAGGTTGTGGAGTCTCCATCCTTGGAGATATTCAAAACCTGACTGAACGTGGCCCTGAGCAACCTGCTATACTTGACCCTGCTTGCACAGTGGGGCTGGACTAGATGATCTCCAGAGGTCCCTTCCAACCTCAACCATTCTGTGATTCTGTGAAGTACAATGAATTGCCTTTATTTGCAGTGCTGTATTTTTAAATTGATGCAAATGGGTTTTTTTCTTCCCGAGACAAACTTCCAGATAGGCTAGGAAATAGCTCAGTATTAATAATTTGCCCCCTTTTTAGATAAGCTGCTTTTTGCTTGGGCAGTTGTGCCAGTAATGCAATTGCCTTTTTTGAGATAGTTGCTTTCAGCAAAGGTAGTTAAATACTGTAGCTGGCGATGCATTTCAACAGTTGAACACAAAAGGATTTTAACTGTTTCTAGCATTGATTAAAGAAGTGTTGCATGCCATATTCCAAACATAACTATAAGTTTATTTATCTTTTAAAATTATACTATTTCACGTGGAAGTGTATAATCGCTACCATCCTCTTGGGAGGAAGGGATCAACATACTGAACTCCCCTGCCTGTGCATATCACGGTCGACTTTGTGGCATTATGCTTGACACCCTCACCCAGCTGTATCCAGTTTTGCAGCTCCTATGGGTCACATATAAAAATCTTCAGATGGCCAAGCTTTGAGACCTCTACTGTGTCCCTCAGATTGCCAAGAATTAGATGAATCCCAGGAGCAGTTCACATGCAGTAAATGACATTTGATTTCTGCGGTCCCATGGCTCCAGCACAGATCTTAGCTGGCTCTGGAAGTGGCTCCTGGTGCACTGTCTCCTACAGCCAGGGCTGTGGATTGCTCGGCACCCCCTGCACCAGCATTAGCTTCATTGCCAGTCACGGAACATGGCCTGGCTCGGGAGCTGCATGGGGCCTAATTGCGAGCCATATGGTGGCCATCCCTGCACTAGTGCAGTGCAAAATTGAGGTTCTTCAGTTCTTCACATCAGGGGATCAACAGGAGAGAGAAGCTCAAAATTGGCCTTTTAATTTTTATTTAAGCAGCAATAAGTATGCACAGTCAAAATTTGCTGTCAAAGAAACCCTACCTGTTGTAAACATGTACGACAGAAAAGCCCTTTTAGTAAGCGTGAGACAGCACAATTCGTTTTGCCACTAAAAAAATGGGCTTTCACAAGGGAATTGAGAGTAAGGCAAGGGCTGGTTTTTTTCTGAAATAAAGCAGCTTGGAATTTAGGAAACTTAAAGCTACCTTGCAAACAAGATCTTTTTCTGTAAACCATAATGAACTGTGATCTTGCCATAAAAGAGTAAGTGATGTGTTTGTTGGAGCAGCTTATACCTGTCAGGTGTGATCTTTACCCACTGCTTCAAAGAATGGATCAGTTCAGTAATTCACCCCTTCCTTAGAATCTGTGACATGTCCATGTTAAAAAAAAAAAAAAAAAAAAAGTATAATGATACTAATGTGCTCAATTTGCAAAAGTTCATATTGCGCAGTAGCTGCATTCTGTAGCAATGGGCTGCTAGCTTCTGCTTAAGTCCCCAGGAGTTGCTCATGTGATATCTGTTTTAAACTCGCACTGACCTGATCTAAATTAGGTCAGGTTTATGTCTTCAGTGAAGAATTGGGCTTAACATCTCTTGCCAGGAACAAACATCAGAAATTATCTGTAAATATGTTCTGTAGCTAACGTTTTGTAGTCACAACAGGCTAACAGGTATTTTTACATGTCAAGGTATACATACTTAATACTTGGATGCATTTTCATTTGTTCAGAATTACACAGCGCTTTTTCATAATGCTTGCAGAACAAAATTCAAAGACTCAGCACAGTCCTGTCCAATCTTTTATCCTCTCCTCCTGCATATAATACCTGTATCTATTTCTGTGTTCCTACTGTCTTTCTGGTGCAGCTGGAAAGTGTCTCAGTATTAGACAACTGTCCACTATTTATTTAAGGGTTTGGAGAAGACTTGTCAGGGTTGTCTGATCCACTTACAGATCCTTAGGTAACGAAAAATGGTTAGCCTAAACTAGTTTAGGTCCCAACTGATTACAGAAGCACTTTAGCCCAGAGAGTGGAGTCAGTAACTAATGGATAATCTTCCATGACCGTCCTAACAGCATGAAAGGTGTCTGTAACCCACCAGTCCAGCATTCACCAGTTCGGGACTGCTAACTTCACTGCCACGCGTACGTGTGAAGTTAGCAGCGAAGGATGCTTCTAATGCTGAAGTACACGTACGCATGGGAGCGGTGAATGCTTTGTGTTTGTGTCCAGTCAACTTCCCCACCATTCTTTCTTTTTGCTTACTGGAAGTAATTTATGTTGGATCCCCTTTTTTCTGGAATGAACTTTGCAGTGTATGTGGTCAGCCATTTTGATTACTGCAAAGGCACTCATTTGCGGAGCCATCGTGCAGGAGAGACCAAAAGTTGTTTACAAACGATCTTCTCTATTCTGGGCCCGGATTAGTCTCTACATGCTTAAAATTCCCATGTACCTCTTTGGGAGATGTGCATAAAGACATTGTGCTAAAATCAATGCTATTCACACTCAACATAAACATCTAAGAAATCTGCAGTATGAATTGCTAACGTTAATGTTTGTTTGCTGATTTTTATCATAATTGGGAGAAATCTATAGTCAATGTGTTATACAAAAGAATCGGAGGACCAAGGTTTCCAGCTACTCATACTGCCTTTTTGAGTATCTTAACTGTGTCTTGATTGGATTGTGTTAAT